ATCGATGACTTTTTCGAAAAAGTTATAGATATTAATGTTGGGAACTTTATTCTTACATGCTAATGTCCAATTAGCTGCTCTAAACTATTCAACTTATATTATTCCTGGTCTACACCACAACCCTTGTAGACTTAGCAAACTTGTACTTTTCACTTCAACATTTCTTACTTTCTCCGTTTTAAAACACTTGTGCATCAAAATGTATAAAATACTTTGATGCTTCTTAATTAGTTGAAAAACCATCGGCTCACGAATATATAATAAAATAATGCTAAACAGTATAAATCTAAAACGTACTGTTACTTATTCAGTAAAGCATCTCGACTGATCCGAATTTGAAATGTTCATGATATTTTAAAAATGGTCATTACGGATATTGTATGAACTGACAATCTTTTTTGCTTATAGAAAAATTCTAGATGCTACATAGTTGTAAAATAAATAGAGCACACTCATAGCAATCCACGTAGAATTAATTCGGTTTAAGCTCATTATTATTATTTAATGTAGTGCATGTTTGTTTTCGAAATTCGGAAGAATATAATGTGGAAACTATTATTGTATATAACATAGAATTGTTGTTACACATCAAGCATAAAAATTGTGTTGTGGTCATATCGAAACTTGTTGATTGTATGACAAATCACATTTCCATTTACGTGGTGAGCGCGATTCATACTATAGTTATATTATTTAAGAAGAAATATTACAAAATTCTTTACCACTTCGGATGGCACACATTTTATCAAAACGTTATACATCAAAACTGGGAGGAAGAACGTTGATACGTGTTGCATGTTCATTTAAGTTAACTGCAACTGGACAATTACCCTCAAGATATCGCGCAAGAATTACGACCGACGCAACTGGTACGAGAATCGGGTATGGGCGAGCTACCTGGCGTCGAAAGTCCGTTGTAACCGACCCCAACGAAACGTAATTTTCGATGGTGGGATCCGAGGCTTTTACTGGAGCTCAAAGATCTGTTTCCGTTGTAACGTAATTGAGACGTTGTTGTCATCGCATAAGATTTTAGATGAGATTTTATAGACTTAGGCAACGGAAGCTGATCAATACCATACACTGTCGTTCTTGCTACTATCGCGCGACAAGCAAGTTCTTGAAGACTGAGAACTAGAAATTAATACAGTCAGATTTCTCTGTAATATACTTAAGCTGTAATATCAAGCAACTGAATAATTACCTTTGTTGGATCGCCATAATCTTTCCATGCCATTACGATGTAGCGCCATACGCGAAAGTTCCGAAAAACTTTCACGAATGTTAAAGTTACAAAGGGGTGAAACTTCAAAAAATGCCATATGATTTTTAGCTGCATATGCCTTTGCATAATGCTCCCCTACACGTCTCTTAAATGCTAAATGAAGACGATTTCCAACGAGTACTTTTGGTACCCCAGGAGCATGCTATAATGTTATAAAAAGAAAGATTAGTTGGAACCGATCTCCTCTAACTTATAAAGATATTTAATTTGAATGTACCTCCTCAACTTCCTTCAGCCATCTGTCAATACCGTCGAAAGACCATTTATTGGTAATGTCGTAGACTAAAATTATACCTTGTGCACCGCGAGAATAAGATCTGATTATTGTACAAAATCTACCTTGACCCGATGTGTCCCACAATTGTAACTTTACTCTCTTCCCATCTAGTAAAATGGTGGTGGTTTTATACGCTGAAACATAAATACATATTTACATGTTTGTTGTTCTTACGTATTATGCACGCACAATACATTTGTAGCAGTACAAACAGTGACTTTTTGACGTAGTATTGAATGTTCTATTAAATTAGATGCTTGTGAAATACAAGCTGTCAAATATATTTTTCATTGTTCAAACAGAAAAAGAAAATATTATATGTTGTCACCTGTATGCTGAGACATTTTAAAGGTTAGATAAACTTGTTTATAAAGTCAATGTACTGCCAAAAATCAACGGATGGAGAAAATATCGAAGTTAAACAAAAGAAAAATGTCGAAAATATTGAAAAATATACCACTGCCGCTGCAAAACGGTGATTCGGCAGCACCATCTTCGAGTCCACTCAAGATCTCTTGCTTTCCAACGTCGCTGTCACCCACCAGTAAGAATTTAAGGAGATAGTCGTATTGCTTTTCTTGACGAGGCTTTGTTGTGCTGGCCTCACCTGCAGCCATAATATTCCTCTATTGCAATCTGTGAGCATACTGCAGGCAACCCTGTAAGCTTCGACTGCCCCGTTAATGTTTTCTGTATTTGGAATCCGTGAACAGACGAACGTTTTCTAATAAATTTCTTTCACTAATGAAACCATAGTACACTGGACATGAATTCCTTTCAGCAAACGACGCTTTCTGGTGTCGTCTTCTTGTGAACAGTTATTATACTCGTAATAAAAGTCATAACATAGCGACGACGGTGTCTATTTTCCAATGCATCACCCGTTCTATATTCAATTAATTTGACGAGGTGCTGTCACAAATTTTTCGAAGGTCAAGTACGTTCAACGAATAAGCACAAACTAATAAGGCGATTACAAAATGCACGACAACTGTTTTAAGAAAAAATGCGTTAGAAAAGGAGAGTTCTCATGCTTAAGACATAGAATAAAACGTACATTACCATCGATATAGTTGTCCCACCTAACCCATAATGTCCGTAACTCAGATCGCAGCGCAATCTTCACGAGCGTTCTTCAAATAGTTCGCTCATTTTGTTACAATAATAGGATCTACTCCTGCACATTTTTCTTACTCGCTAAGCTGGCACGCACATCTCCACAATTTTACTGCGCATCCAATCCGCAGTGGATTCAGTTTCGACCAGTAAATCGTCAGCCAATCAGAGCAAATAAAATTTCTACGTCAACCTTTGCCAATGGATCAAGCTGTGGCCTCTGTGCAGGAGTAGGACCCATGTATTGATGTATAATATGCGCTCGAACGTCATAAAATCTTTTTAATTTCCACATTTTAATATACGCCTGTTTTCAGAATCCGAAATATTTGAAAAACGCAAATAAGCAACGGTCTATGAAATAGACTGTTATGATTACCAAATATTTATGCTCCAAAAGTTTTTCTTTATCTCGAGTTCCGTTAGCTATTTTTATTTAAACATTGGATTGTGTAAAACAGACGAGAGAGTATTAGATGATGTCATCAGCAAAAGAAATTCTTATAATTATTATTGAAATGTTAGAAATAATAAATTTATCAATAAAGTATGTTCGATGTACAATTCTTTGTCACATTCGTGATTTTAAAATTACTGTGTATATTTGACGTTATTAATTATTTTCGTTACGAAATGATACGACGAAATAGACACGAGAGTATTAAATAATATCATTGGCAAGAAGAGTTCTCATAAATATTAAACATCGAAAAAAATCAATTTATTAACGAAGCTCGTCTGCTGCAACAATTTCTTGGAACATTCGTACTCGGAAAATTATTCCGTAAGTCTGATTCTATCGGTCATTTTCATTAACAAATTAAATAGCAAAATAGTCAATGGAGTGTTTAACCATACTTCTAACAAATAGAGTTATTGTAAATATTAAATATCGAAAAGCAATCAGTTTATTAACGAAGTTCGTCTGCTGCAACAACTTCTCGAAACATTCGTACTAGGAAAATTATTCTATATGATTCTATAGATCATTTTCACTAACAAATTAAATGGCAAAATAGCCAGTGGAGTGCTGAACCATAGTTCTAACAAACAGAAATGTAAATATTAAGAAGCGAGAAATAATAAATTTATTAACAAAAGCAATCGATATAATAACTTAAACAATTCGATCGATTTATGCAAGTCTCTTGTTAATCAAACCTCGTTGATACTTTTCATGAATAATTTAAGTGATGAAATAATTTTTCGGGCACCGGAGAGCATTATTGCAAAATAAATTATTACGAATATTAAATAATTGGAAATAATCTAAATTATTGAAATTATCGATCGCCGTTGATCGCGCGATCGTCGATCGTCAAAGTCAGTGGTGGGGGTGCCCTTCGTGCTTGCTCGGCTCAAAGTCGTTGATCAATCAGTCGGAACTTGTCTAATGTGGGAATCAGTCGGGTTTCAAGAAAGCTCTTCCACAAGTGTAATTAAAATAAATTAAATNTAAATAATTGGAAATAATCTAAATTATTGAAATTATCGATCGCCGTTGATCGCGCGATCGTCGATCGTCAAAGTCAGTGGTGGGGGTATACTTCGTATACCCCCCCATACTTTCTCGCTCGGCTCAAAGTCATTGCCTAATTAGTCGGAACTTGTCTAATGTGGGAATCAGTCGTGTTTCAAGAAAGCTCGTCCAAAAGTGCAATTATAATAAATTAAATTGTTAAGAATTAAGATATAATATAATTTTAAAGGAAAATTAGTGCGCGAAATTATAATAAATTAAATTATTAAGAATTAAGATGTAATATAATTTTAAAGGATAATTAGTGCGTGAAATTAATCGCGTTTCATGAAAGCTCTTCTAAAAGTGTAATTATAATAAATTAGATTGTTAAGAATTATGATATAATATAATTTTAAAGGAAACTTACTGCGTGAAATTATAATAAATTAAATTGTTAAAAATTAAAATGTAATATAATTTTAAAGGAAAATAAAACTTTAATAACTCATCGACCGATTTGTGCAAGTCTCTTGTTAATTAAACCTCGTTGGTACTTTTCATAAACAATTTAAGCGATTAAATAATTTTTCGGGCACCGGATAGCATTATTGCAAAATAAATTATCGCGAATATTAAATAATTGGAAATGATCGAAATTATCGATCGCCGTTGATCGTCAAAGACAAGGTTAAATTTCTTTGTCGTTTGTTAAATCCGTTTGTCCTTTGTTTGCTCGCTCGGCTCAAAGACATCCCTCGATTAGTCGTTACACGTTTAGTGGAAGAAGTAGTTGCATTTGAGGAAAGCTCTTGCAATAGTGATATTATTATAAATTAAATTGTTAAGAATCAAGATATAATATAATTTTCAAGGAAAATTATTGCGTTAAATTACTTA